TCAGCAGTGTACTTCGTCAGTCAGCCTGTTCTGCTCCCAACTCTGTCTCTGGTGAATCCTCTCATCACCTCAGCACCTCTGGTCTGTACCCCAGTTCTGTATGCATAAATAAATAAATCTTTTTTTTTTTTTAAAGATTGATTTATTTATGCATACAGAACTGGGGTACAGGCCAGAGCCCGCGCGCGCGGCGCGAGCCCAGCCCAACCCGACCCCAACCAGCCGGCTTCGCTTCGCCGCGCCGCGCCGCGCTGCTCCTCGCCGCAAGCTCACCTCACAGCCCCGCTCCGGCTGCGCCTCTCCAGGACCAACCGACAGAAGGACTCTGCGTGCTGCGCACCACGTGATCCCAGGACGCGCCCAGCGTTTCCCCCGCCCCCTACATACACGCACCATCGCCACCACCAAGTGACGCAGCGCCCCAACTGCCCCGCCCTTGGCCCCGCCCCTGCCGAGCACCGTAGCAACGGCTCGGGAGGACCACGCCCACTGCTCTGACGCGGGCAACCGGGTAGGCGCCCTGATTCTGGGCACGAAGTAGGGCTTGAACGACACGAAAGTGGAGACTGACACTAGACACTATCGCTAATTTTTGCCTCCTAAGTACGTCTCGATGTCTACCAATTAGACCATCCCACTGCCAACATTCCAGTCTAGGCCACCATTACCTCTCTCCTAGATCACGGTGGACTCCTCTATCCCAATTCATCACGCAGTAAGGAGCTTTTCAAAAACAAATATATTCTCAGCCATATCCTGCTCAAAACTCATTCCCCACTGTTTTTAGGATTAAAATTAAAACCTTCACTGTAGCCAGTCTAACAGCCTCTTCAAAATGTGGATCTAATCTGACTCTTGCATTCTCACGCAACCTCCCCCACATTCTGTCTTTCAGGTCCTCAAATTTGCCATATTCCTCAATACCTTAGTGCCTTTACACTCATCCCTCCTTAACTGTGCCTCATTAATTCCTAAGAAAACTAACTGCTGTTGTGGAAAGGGGCTATATTTTGCCTCCAGGGACCAAGGTCAGAGTTGCAGCCACCCAGGCACATAGTAGATGTCTTCACATCTAGGCTTCACCAGGGAAGTCCCTAGAAGAAATGCTAAACTAGCTATTTATGAGAGCAATAATCCACTTGACTTTATACTAGAAAGACAAAAAAAAAAAAAGGCATTCTACAACCCTTGCTTATTCTCAGACCATGATGAATTTCTGTTGTTTTTATGGCTCTTCCCAAGCTCTTTCTAAGCATTAAGCCATTGTAATAGTCTGTTGCTTTTTGCAAAGCTGATTTTATCACTCAATTTTCAGTTTGTCATCTCTGCAGTTTTATCATTCTTCCTCATTATCTCGAAGTACTTCCCCCAATCACTTCCCTCCTTGCAGTTACTCTTTGTTACTCTTCATATTCAACACAATATTCAAAACAGTTTGTAGTTACTTCATTTGTTCTATTGGTTGTATGTATCTGTTTCCTGAACAGAATTTACTGAATTGTTAGGATCTGTCAGATAGTAGATACTCAATGTGTATCGGCAAGGAACGGATAACAGTTGGAAAACTTAGTAATTACTTCAGTTCAGAGAAGAGGTGCTTTGCAAGTCAGAGCGGGCTAATGAAGAAATCACTTCCTCAGCCAGGATAGTAAGGGCAAATATAGTGCTGAGGAAAGGATTCTAGAAAACCATAGTCAGGCCTCCCTGATGGCACAATGGGTAAAGTCTCAGCACTATGAAAGCACTGCAGCATGAGTTTGATCCCCAGCCAGGGAGCTGACTCACATGGCCTCTCCTATCTCGCCCCCCTGTCCCCCTCAGCAGTGTACTCAAGTGAATCTATCTGTTCTCCTAACTCTGTCTCTCATGCCCTCCAAGCCCCCATAAAGCTCACAATTATGGCATGGACATCAGTTCTCGTGTTCATAAATGAATAAATCTTTAAAAACATTTTTCCCCACAACCAAAGTGATACCAGGACTCACATTGCCCCATAGAAATATAACATATGGGCCGTCCCTGGTGGTACAGAGGGTTAAAGCACAGCACTAAGAAGCTAAAGCTACTTCAGCATGAGTTTGATCCCCGCCCACCCTGGAAGTGGAGGTGACCCACATGACGCG